ATATCTACTGATTCTACTTAAATAACATTTTCTATGCAGGACTTTTACTCTTTTACATTTTGTTAGTACTTTAGTATTAGCCTACCCCAGACCCAGCTGCCTGCAGATCACGCTGGCGTCTCTGTCGGACCAGTGAGAGTCACACACTGCCCCCCACTGGCCGTTCAGGTACACCTCAACCCGCCCGCTGCCGGAGAACGAGCTGCCAACCAGACGAGCGGCGCCTAAAAGGCCAGAGGACAGAGATGAGGAGGTCAGAAAACACATCCATACTCAAGAACAGTCAGATGCTTGTGGTATAATGTGTGAGTCAAACACTAACTTGAACCTGATGGTTTTGTTCGGAACACGTTAGCAGACAGTTGCCTATTTACATTCACATGGAGCCACGTTTCTAAAATAAGATCATTGTCCGCTCTCTTTTAGCTCAGTTTTGTTCTCCACCATCTGCTGGAGGAAATCCTTTGCTGTTTAGCTGCTAAATGCTTCACCACATGTATCAGCTAGATGCTAACTGTGGCTGTTTGGAACAGAAATCAGAGGGTTGATGGTTGATGAGAGTAGAATTTTTGGGGCAAATTAAAAACAATTATCTAAAATCAATCAGAAATCTCCTAAGATTGTATAAATTGAATTCAAGTTTTCAGTAAATCAAATTTCTCCATGTGTTTTGTATCACTGCAAAACATTTGGCATCGCCTTTAAGAAACTGTTATGAGCCTTTTCAGAATTTACTGACATTTTTAAGACAAAACATCTTCGACCCCATTAAAAGATTTTACTTTTATGAGCAGCTGAACAAAAGAGTGATTTTCCTTTCTTATGGTTCATTTTAACAAATGGTCAGATTCTGGTGATCTGCGGTCGTACCCTGGTGGCAGTCGCAGTACGCCCATCCAATGGCTCCAGAGTTCTGTCTGAAGAAACACCAGGGGTTGGACTCTCGGTCCGGGTTCCTGCAGTAGCTGTGGTCGCCCAGCCCTCGGCCCGGGTACTGCATAACGTAGTCCGGAAACTCTGTCCACTTCAGACAGGGGGCGCCAGAGTCCGTCTGGGACACTGTGCCGTTGTAGTACCCCAACTCTGTGAATCCCTCAGAGCAGGACAGAGGCACTGCACAGAGACAGACGGAGGGAGAGAAGAAGGGAGAGAGTGAGTGAATGTGAAGGAGAGAAGGGAGAATAAGATGTTCTGGATGAAAAGAGGTTGAGGAGGAGGAGGATTTGGGTCAGAGACGACAATGAGAATAAAAAGAAGTGAAATGGGGAAAGTTTGGAGGCGGATAGAAGAGTGGAATTGCTCTTATTCCAATAACATTATCCCCATGACTGTATTCTATCTGAACATAAACGCTTACATGGATGATTTTCATGAGCTGTTCGCTGCCAAAGCAGGATCCGTCCTAATGCACCCTCACCCTCACTGATCCGTGCTGGACCGGAGACATTTCTACCACTTTAAACCTTAAACCGGCCTTATTTAACACGGTGGTGACCATGGCACTCTGCAGTGATCGTGTGTGAGCGGAGCTCGGACAGACTGAGAGGGAGACTGCTGACATCAAAGTGTCGTAAAATGAGGCCACAGAACAGAGGAGCTCACACACTGTGGCCTGAAAATTTACATCACACATTAATGAGCAGGAATCACACTGCAGATCGTAACAAGCACAGCCGAGTGCATTCAAACTAACGGTGGACTCAAACTGTCCCTGGTGCTTTGTAAGCGTAAAGGTGCAAAGTGGTGGGACCTTAATAACAATGTTTTTATAGAAGCAGCAGGGCAGATAAGATGAAATACTCCCGACAGCCGGAGATATACATCATCAGCTGAAGTGCAAAGTCACAATATCAAAGCACACAAAAGAATGGAATTAACTCATAATGGAAAAAGGTTTAAACAGGGAAATGCTGATTCTATTTGCGGTTTTGTTTTTTTCTAGTTTGCTGTTGTGTTTTCTTATTTGTTGTTGTATTTTATTTGCCATTTTGTTTTGTTGTTTGCTGTTTTATTATTTTGTTTGCACTTCAGGGCCGCTGTAGTTATGCAGACACTGAAAACTAAATTTACATTAAGACATGAAATACCGGTACATTCCCAGAGAATATCACAAATGTCCTCTTTTGGTGCTGCTGACTTATTTCTTTGCTTTCATGCATCATGTGCTCTGGGAGCAATGAAATAACAGGAGTACTGCACAGTGACTTTAAAAATTATTTTAAGTTTGACAAAATGTCACTCAGAAGAGCTCATTCCTCCACCAAGGCCCAACAGCCTCCTTTCGAAATCATGTTTAAATCAGTCCCTATAATATGCCTAATTTTCTCCATCAAGATCCATAAATTATTCTCTGAGCAATTAACACAAAGGCTGAAAAACGCCCCATCTCTAAATGTTGAAGAAAGTGAAAGAAAGGAGTCCTGGATCTATCCCCTGACTCAAATCCACACCAAAATTGTATTACTTCATCTGTGACTCATTCTGCATCCTTCCACCAAGTTTCATGGAAATCAGTTGTGTAAGTTTGCTAAATAATACACAAACAAACAGCAATGAAAACCTAACCTCCTCTGTGGAGGTAATAATTTCTTTAAAGGTTTCTGAGGCCAAGTGGCTGCTGAACTATGATTAATGATGGAGCTGCTTCAGTAGCCAGCAACTCTCTTATCTCCTCCACACACACACACACACACACACACACTGGAACATTATCCATGCAGTACAATCCTTATGCCCAACTCGCACTCTAACCCACAAATACACACGCAGTCAGATGCAGAAACACCCACACACACACAGAGTCCAGTCTGGAGGAAGATAAGAGAAAGAGCAGAAGCGCTGAAAGCCCCGGAAACTCTGAGATACAGGAAATCAATCAGGCAGAAATGTACTTAACTAAAACAGAAATCTATCCTGAGACAATGAATAATGCAGAACACACTCAGACTGTGGACCCAAAATAATAATAATAAAAAGAAACTTCACTAGAAACCATTTTTTTTAAAAGCTTCCATCTACAGAGCCAGAAACACGTCTGTCTCTTTAAGAAACATGACACACTCAGAAAGAGAAAGTGGAATTCTTTCATGGGAAACTACCTCCACACAGTTTTGGATCCTGCTTCACAGATCCACACCAACACGCAGTAAGTAGTCGTTTTTTTTCGATTTCTTGAGCAAAATATTCAAAGAGACCAGAAGTGGAATCTGTGTTAGTGTGTAGGTTGTGTTTCATCCCACTCTGTGCTGTTCTTTGGTGAGAAACGCTGCAGCTCACTGACGGTTACAAATGTGTTTGTCTCGTCCTCAAAAGAAAAGCTGCATTCTGTTAGCTTCCATATCACATGATCATCAGCCGACAGTTGTTTTCTCAGTTGTTGTGAAATTGTATTTTTCCTCTGAACGCACTTCAAGGTCTCCTCGCGTATGTTGGAGGTTTTTCTGGAGCTTTGTCACACTGTCTTCATGAAGCTAACTCGTCACAGTGTGGTGTATTCAAGTGTTGAACTTCGGCTCACACTGTAAGACGGTGTAAAGCCATAAAAGACGCAGTGAAATAAAAGTTTAAAAAGGATCTTTCTTGTTCTAAATGTAATTTGTCTCTTTGCCAAACGCAGATCAATAATTATTTTTGTAAAATTTTGTATTAAATCTTTTTTTTCTTTTTGATGATTCATCCTGATGAATTTAACTTCTATTTTATTATAACTTCTATTTTAATTTTAAAGGTTCCCTATATGGAGTCTCGACCACTGGGGGTGCTGTGGAGCAATTTATTTCAATGATCAGATCCCTGAAGAACACACACAAGTAAATGTGCTATTGGTGTTGATGTAAACAGAGACTTTCTTTATTTGGCAGAAACACCAAGGGGGTCATAAAATTATAATACAATATATTTTTTTTCCTTTAATTAACAGTTTTTTTGTGTTATGTTTTTTTCAGAAATGGCCTCCAACTTCAGCCTCTTACATGAGGATCAGTTTCTCTGTCCGATCTGCCTGGACACGTTCACTCAACCAGTCTCCACACCATGTGGACACAACTTCTGCCTATCCTGTCTCTCATCCTACTGGGACGACGAAACCGTCTGTCAGTGCCCGGTCTGTAAGGAGACGTTCGGGAGGAGACCCAATCTCAAGGTCAACACTTTCATCTCAGAGCTTGCGTCGCAGTTCACGTCGCTTCAAGTCACAGATGCTCACACCTTGAGCCCGGAACGACAGAAGGATAGCGCTGGCTGTGTGGTGCTGTGCGATGTTTGTACTGACGTCCAGCAACTGGCTGTCAAATCTTGCTTTGAGTGTCTGACTTCATACTGCAGCGTTCATCTGGAGCCCCATCACAGAGCTGCCGGACTGAAGCGACACACACTGGTCGACCCTCTGGCGAACCTGCAGGACAGGATCTGCGGGGAGCATAACCACATCCTTACATTGTTCTGTTTTAACGATAAAATGTTGCTGTGTGACGTCTGCGTCCGTTCTCAGCACGTGAACCACGATGTCTTTCCTGTGCAGCAAGCATACAGAGAGATGACGGGTGTGCTGGGAGACACAGAGGCCAGAGTGCAGCAGATGATCCAGGAAAGGCAACAGAAGCTGAAAGAAATGGAGGAGTCAGTGAAAGAAAGCAAGAGAGAGACTGGAGACGTGATAGCTGAGAGTGTGATGGAGTTAACAGCCCTGGTGTCTGAGGTTCAGAGGAGCCAGACGGAGCTCGTGAAAGTGATAGAGGAGAAGCAGAAAGCAGCAGAAGAACAAGCGGGTGTTTTTATTGCCGTATTGGAGCAGGAGCTCACTGAGCTGCAGATGACGAAGATGATGCTGAGGGACATAAAACAGTCTGAAGACCATCTCAGTTTCCTCAAAACCTTCCCAGACCCATCCGTCCTCCTACCACACGTTACGGACCTGTCCTCTTTCAGCTTCAACAGACACATGGAGATGTGGCACGTGCAGAAATGTCTGAGCAGCTCTGTGTCTCAACTGCAAACGTTGCTGAGGAAAATGACAGCGGAAATCACAACGTTCTCCGCGTCGAACAACGTCACGCTGAGGTACCTGCAGCAGTATGAAGTGAACGTTCTGCTCGACCCTGACACAGCTCACCCTCTGCTCATTTTGTCCAACGATGGCAAACAGGTGAGATACACCAAGGGCTCACTTCGGCGGAGGATCCAGGACGTGAAGCCGGGCGAGTTCACGGTGCATCTCGCAGTTCTCGGACGAAGAGGCTTCTCGTCACGAAAGTTTTACTTTGAGGTGCTCGTGAGTCAGAAGACCGAGTGGTGTCTGGGTGTGGCCACGGCTTCGATACAGAGGAGAGGGGTACTCACTCGGGGTCCTGACTCCGGACTCTGGGCCATCTGGTTCATAGAAAATAGGTTTGAAGCCTTTTCTACTCCAGGTGTGACGGTATACCCGGGGAAAGTAGAGAGGGTCGGCATGTTTGTGGATTACAACAAAGGTCTAATATCGTTCTATGACGTGCAGACTGCCACACTCATTTACTCATGTACTGACTGTTTCTTCACAGAGGAGCTTTATCCATATTTAAACCCCTGTGATAATCAGTATGGCTCAAACTGGGATCCGATGGTCATTGTCCCTGTCACTCGTATGGAGGACTTGATTTGAGGGTTCATTTTTCTAAAGATTTCAAAAGCACCTTGTATCAAATGAAGACATTTTGTTCTGTCAAGTGTGTGTGTGTGTGTGTGTGTGTGTGTATACAGTGGATTGATATTTTTTATATATTTATACAGAAATACCTAAATGATCCATGAAATATGTCGCAGGAAAACTGTGAGAATTTCAATATCTTGCAATGTTAAAGAAAGCAAAAATAAATGCCTGGTTCTGCTCCCTGATCTTACAATACAACCAACCATCCAACAAACGGACAGGGGTGAAAACATAACCTGTTTGGTGGCGCATGTGATTTTTATCAGTTATTATTGACCAACTGATAAATCGACTAATTGAATCAGTTGAGATGAAGATACAACGATAAGAGATCAAATATAAAATCCAAATGTGCGTCTAAATGAAGCTTTAACAGCCTAATAGGTAAAACACACTACCATATCTTTGCAGCAAAGTTCAATGTGAAGTCTGATTCAGACAGATATCTGTATTGATACACGACACTAACATGTTATTTAAATCCTACCAGTTTTATGTTCATTTTGTTTTCATAATTTCACAATCTTTCTGTTTTTCTCTGTGATGTGTTTTAAGCTTTATAGCTGCGTAATGGTGATAAAACATTTATATCGGCCTGATGAAATTTTAATAAAGTAAAGAAGCATTATGTAACTTAGCCGGGCAACATTTTCACTGTATCTGTGTGAACTTTATTTCAGGGCCTCTTAAAACAAGGATTTCCTTTTTTTTTTTTTTTTCAATTTCAAATCAGAACGTCTGACTTCACCACCTTTAAATTTCTCCTCCCTCATCCGCATCCTGTATGTTTCATTCAAGCTCTTTAATTCATCTTAACACCCACAGTGCACGCATGCACGCACACTCGCATAGACACAAAAAACATTCGCTACCGCTAACACCCTCCTCATTGCCACGACAACGGTACTCTAGCCCATCGCCATGGGAACACTCAGTCTCCCTGCTCCCATAATCCATTTCCCAGCCACAATGAGTATTTGACACGGTTCACACTCGGAGGCTGGCAGTATGGGGGGTGGATGTGTGGCAACAGCGTCTTCTACACAAAACACACGTTAATATAAATAAGGAACATGAAGGAAGATTTGGTTTATAGAGATTTACCCTGATTTTGATGCAATTTTCTGCAACAAAGGATGAACCGTATACATCTCGTGCAACATTTGCTGGATTGTTATTACGATCATCCTCGTGCTCATGGTTTTAAAATGTGCCTCGAGGTTGTTTCTCGTGATAACAAAGGCTGTTTTCCTGATGGGTGAGAGGTGTGTTTGTAATCACAATAAAATTGCTCTTGTGTGTGTGGCTGTGAAAACAGATATTTCAGCACTGGAAACAGGAGTCTCACCCCATCCCCCCACCATCATCATCATCATCATCATCATCATCATCGTCGACATGGCCTCCAAGAAAGAGGAGGAAGATGAAACGCAGAGGGGTGCAGGCCAGAGGGAAGAAGAGAGGTGAGGCTGAGATGAAGAAGAGGAGGGGGTTTCATGAGTGTCTGAATCAGAATGTGGGTTAAACTGGAGGCGGGAGGGGAGGGATGGTGTGGGAGGAGAAGACAGATGGAGGGAGGAAGCAAGAGTGTTGTGTTTGGAGTATCACCTCCCACCTACCTGAGTTCTGCACCTCGTTTAAGTAACTGTCCTCAGCCACCACCTGCAGGCAAAGATACACTGAGTTAGACAGTGTTGTACAAAATATCTTGTCAAGGCTACAAAAGACGGTTTAAGTTTTCTGATCCGTTTGTTAATTGGCAGAATCTTACAGCAGATTCAATAGAGATTCAGCAGACACGGACCACGAGCCGGTCTCTGATGCAGAAAGCACCAACATTAAGCCATCTGTCAGAGGGTACGAATCAACAACTGCTTTGCAGATTCGAGCCATTTCATTCAGGGTGGCTTGTTCGCTTTTGTTCTGAAGTAATGTGGTTGAGTCACTCTCCACAGGCTCTTCAGTAGTTGAGGACATCACATCTTATTCTGTTTCCACTTCAGATTCAGTAGGTTTCTGGTCGAAGCCCCTACATTCAGATCAGTACACTATATTTAATTGTCGTGGTGCGTGATCTTTCGAGACATGAACGAGACATTACAATGGTTTCAGTAAATATCTACACATTTTGCACATATTATTGTTCCTGTAGATTTAATTTAAATAGATAAACCAATCAATCTAAACCCAATAATCCATAACCTTTCCTGTGACATCGCATCGTGCCTCCTCTTTGCTTTAATTATACTTGACACGTGTCTAGAACTTGACTCAAGTGTCCTTGTTGCAAACTGAATTGATTCGACGTGGTTTAGAAATAACCTCTGCTGAAATCAGGGCAAGGTTATGAAACCGTTTCCAAGTGTTCCCAGGGAACAGTGGCCTGAATAATTGTGAAATGGAAGAAATGTAGGAACCACCAGGACTCTTGACTCTTGTTTGGACAAACTGGAGAAACTGGACATGAAGAGTCTCCCATCCTGTCCACAGATGGGAGAACCTGCCTGGAGGATGGCATATGATCTAAGTAGCACTCCATCGGTCAGGCCTTTATGGTTGAGTGGGTAGACAGAAGCTACTTTGACTAAAAGGCATCCAGCAGCCTGCTTGGAGTTTGCTAAACTGAATTTAAAGGGGAAGGATTGTCTGTTCTGATGAGACAAGAAGTCGAAGCACTGGCATCACCTGGCTGACACCATCATGCTCTGGGACAGGGGGACTGGTCAGAAATGAGTGTGAATACAGAGGAATCCTTAAAGGACGACTGATCCACAGTAATGGGACTTGAGAGTGGAGCATCGATTCACCTTTTACATTCACCTGAAGCATTCAGCAAAGTCAATGCCTGAGTGGCTTTGGGACAAGTTTGTAGCGGCTTTCAGAAAAACGCTGAACTCCAGATAATATCCCGACATTCTCCACAAGGGCTGTGAGAGAATGTCCAGGTGAGAGGCTCCAGAGTTTCTCCTGCTCACACCCTGGTCAAAACTCTGGATAATGTCGAATGAGCTCATGTGAGAAAACAGCACGAGATCCTCCAGATTTAATGTTTTCTCACATTTTGACTGATTTAATTCACTGATGGCAGGGATCACCAATCAGAGGGAAGGAATATTACAAGTATGAGCCAGCCAGGTACGAAGTGTACAGTAAACACACACACACACACACACACACAAATAGTACCAGACAGCATCAGATGATATCTGACAGAGGAATGTTTGTTTCAATTTCAGAAATCAGGTCACACACACCTCTACACAGCGAGGCACCTGACAGAAGAGGAGAGGAAACACACACATACACACACACACACACATGCTTAGCTGCCACTGTGGAATGACTGTAGAGAGGGCAATGAAATACAACACATTTCCCCTTGAACGTTTCTCTCCTGTGGTGGTGAACACGAGTCCTGATATCTCCAGTCATAGCAATCATACAGCTCCATTACAGCGCTAATCACTCATGATGCTCTCACACCTGCCTCCAGTGCATCACTATGCAAACACATCCAAACACACACTGACACACACAAAGAAGCACTGATGATTTGCACTGGGTAAAGAAATATGGAACATGCTCCAGAAGTGATGCTTTTCATCCTAAACGCTAAGAATTTCATCAGACTGATGCTTTTAGTCAACATTTCCTGTCTTCTATCTTTACGTGGAAGCTTCACAACCAATAAAAATGCTTCCTGTGTATATACGTGCAGGAAGTGGGACAGCTAAATCAAATCGCCTGTCCTTGAGAAGCAGGGGATGTTGAGTGACATGTGCACTCTTTGACAAAGGGCTAATTAAAGTGAGCATATTTGAACCGTCCAGTCCCATCTCATGAAGTGACATCCAACCATCTCTTTTATATGGAGCTGTGCCACGTAGCTTGTATGACAGCAAATTCGAATTATCTTTTTATCTCACAGTTACTTGCCAATTATTTTCTGAGGTGTATAAAATACTATGAAATAATGAAAATTGTCAATCACAATTACCCAGAGTCACAGTTAGCATTTAGCCTTTATTTAAACCAAGAGAGATCAAACATCCATCAAGGCCCAACAGTTCCCTTCAATTTAACCAAGTGGCACCAAATTTACGACACTCACAGAAACCGGTTCCCTAAAAGTGCCTAATTTTTTCATCAAGATCCGTCAAAAATTCCCTTGGAAAATAGTGAAAATGTGAAATTAGTGGATCCAGAAACCACACCAAAGTTTATTTGGTTCTTTCTTTGCCCATGTCCCATCCCTCCACCAAGTTTTGTCGTCCATTGATTCATTAGTCTTTGCACAATCCTGCTGACAGATCAACCAACAAACCAACCAATGGACAGGTGAAGTTAACAATTATTAATTTATGGAAATGTGGGTATGTAGTAACAGCATGTTTTGTCATTTAACTTGGTTGATAAATGCCTATTTATTACATTTTCCTTGCACATGGTGCCACCCAGTAATCTCTGCCATGTTGTCAGCTTAATCTCAGAAAACTAAATAATGCTGCAAGGGATTCGGAGTAAAGCAGGTTATGGAGGAATGCTGTTCACAGTTGTGCTCCTTCCTGTTTACCTACTGTACACATTTGTTCTGACAACACGCAGAGCTGCTGCAATCAGGATGCTCCTGATGAAAAGATTTGTCTAATGAAGTTGAAATGAAAAAGCCGAAACTCATATCTGCCTGGTGCTATTTGTGCTGCATGCACGGCTGCTCCCAGTGTTAGTGGTTCTAATTAAATCCTGCAAACTGTTCTCCACTAATGATTTCTACACAGGCTCATCTAGTGCACATTAACTCAACACACACTGCATCAAAGGAGGGTATGAAAAACCGACAGGAATGAGTCTAATGATTGATTGATTATCGATTGATTGGTTTGCTATAACCCAGCAGCAGATCTGACATCAGCAGGAGGTTGTGATCAATGTATGGAGCTGCCTTCAGGCTGCATGTCTCTGACAACAACGCCTGCTTCACTGCTTTTCACTTTCACCACAGTCTGAGCCACTGTGACAAGTTTCATCCGCCCGTGCAGGGTTCATTTCCCCCAAACACCGCGGGGGCACAGCCTCCTCTCATGATACCCTGCAGAAGGAGGGGTCGAGGGGTTGTGATTGAGACCGTGCCCGATTGTATACATGCATGCGTGCGTGCGTGCGTGCGAGAAAACGGTTTCTAAAGTGGATAATGCGCAATGATGGCACCATTGATTGGCTAAAAGAGCCATTACAGGTGTTTGATGGCTTTTATTCACCCTGAGCTAAAGAAGGGATCACAGTCAAGAGCATTCAGAGACATGGCTGCAGATGGTCGTGCATTTACAATATACAGTGTGTTGAAGGACCATATCCTTTAAACGTGTTTCCAGCAGCTCTGAATGACAGATTTGGCGGTGGATTTACTGTAACGCATAAAAGCGCACAGTCCACAAAGCTTGCTGCATCGCCCTGAATTCCTGCCTAAAGGCTTATCAACCTAATCATCAGTTTAATTAGTATTAACCACGAGGAAGGTTTTCATTTTTTTTCCTCCAGCACAGGAGAACGCATTACAACAATAGAATAAATCAGGTTACATTTCAGGACAGGCTCCAGGACTACGTACCTCCGCCAGCAGCGGCAGCCAGAGGCAGGTTCCGATCAAGCACAACATTTCCCGGCCGCGCAGAGCCATCCTTCCCGCCCGGTGTGTCCGTGTCATAGCCCCGCTCCCATCTCTGTCTCCAGACTGTCCGAGGGAAGATGAAGTGGTTTATCCTCCTGCTGCTGCTGCTGCTGCTGCTGGAGGAGGAGGAGGAGGAGGAGGAGGAGGAGGGAGAAACGTGGTGTGTGATGATGATGGTGAATACGCACAGAATGATACAGGGTGGGGCTGTGAACGCCTCACACAGGATAGAAAACACAGAGAGAGAG